TGTATTTTGCATGTTTTTTGTTTCATTTGCATGTTTTTGGTTTCAGATACTTGGAATGGACATTTAGAGAAAATGAGTGGAAAATGGAGCAAAAATGGGCAAATACAGGTGGCGCTACAGTGCCAGACTCCAGCCAGATGGGAGCTATAGAGTCCCGGACTGGTGTTATAGTGCCAGAAACTACCTTTCTAGAAGATCCATTGAATTAGGCCAAATTTTGAAGGGGTGTTTGAAAAAACCCCTAGTCATTTTCTATTTTCTATTAAATGAGAAGGATTTAGTTGAATTTAGAGATCTTTTGGAGCCTTAAAACTTCAATTAGGCGGCAATAATTAATAAGGGTTTTCTTATTTTTGTGTTTAAGTGTAAGTGTGAGTGTGTTTTAGTGCGTAAAAGTTTGGAGATTTCATAAAGAAAACTCCATAATTTTACTTGGGGAGAAGACATAAGGTACTTTGTATTTGTATTTAAGTTTTTGTTGTAAAACTTAGATTTCAATGCAAATGTTTTGTTTTTGTTTAATCTCCATGAATTATGAGTAGTTCTCTGTCTTTATCCTTGCATATGGGAATTATTCTTGTGGGATGAGAATGATTTAAAAAATTCTTTTTACTCTTAAAAATTATGATGGTATTTTCACCGAATCTTCATTTACTTTAGAAATTGGCCACTTGTAAAGTTAAAATCAGTTGAGAAACATAATGACCTGGGAGGGCTATAATTTCACCCAACTAGTTCACCCAACTATAACTTCACCCAACTATTGGATACCACACTTCATTCTAGGCAGAGCCATGGCGATTACCTAAGGGGGAGTGCAAATAAATAGGGAGATAAGTTTTGATGTGCATAGAATTGGTTAGTTCTAGAGTGACAGACTAGATTCTTATCAATTTGGCTTAAGTTTAGTACCCCGACACAGGGATTCGACCATCATAGTGGCATAGACTTAGGGGCATCTAGAGGCGAGAGACTAGATAGTTCTAATGTTGAATCTTGATGTTAAGGAATCGACCTTAAGTTAGTCAATGCTCTTTGCTAGCACTGGGAGGGCGTAAGGAATAAGGCATGCTTATATTTGTCACAATACATTAATTTTATCTTAAATAACTTGAATCCTACATAGGTTAAAATCTCTTTGCAAGGGGAAAGGTTTTCCATAAATATCCAAACTCATTGTTAAATTTTATTAAGTTGTTACATTTAGTTGTTACCTTCTTTTAACTCTTTAGTAGTAATTTTTAGTAAGCATATCATTATAGACTTCTCGTCTCTTTAATTTGCAATTTAAATAAAAATTTTGTAAGTTGATTTAAAAAGTTACCGCTTTCCTCGTGGGATCAATACTGGGGTTTTCAAGGAAAATCCTATATTACTTGAAACAATACGTATACTTCTGTTGTACCCCTCGTGTGAAAATTTACTATATAATTTATAAATCATTACATTTGTTCACACTAGTCGCTAGATATAATTTGAGATAGATATAATTTGAGTATAATTTGAGACATATTTTCTGGAAAAATTTTGGAGATTAAAAATATACGTAATTGTGGGTCGGGTCAGTGACCATTGGTTATATGTAGAGCTTTATATTAGAAGACATTTTTATAAGTCAAGAGAGGAGAAAAAGAGAAAAACTTCATTTCCTTAAGTAGTTTAGGCCACTATAAGGTAGGCGACCACTATAGGGGTGGACAACCATTGTAGGGGTGGGCGATCGCTACAGTGGGAGTTTGGTGATTGTAGAGTCTTGTGGAGTCAAGTTCTATCAGAAACTTTAGAGGATTACTTGGGGAGAAGTTTGAGATATGTATTTGTAGTTTTGTTTAAGATTTGTCTTATAAACTTGCTTTGTATATGTATAATGTTTTGTTCTGTTATCCCCATGATTTCTGAGTAGTTTTCTTTTACTTGTCTTTGCAATAAGAAGTAATGATGTGTGGGATGAGATTGTTTTGAAGATTTTTTTTATTCAAACAATTTGTGATGGTATTTTCACTGGTTCTTCATTTATTTTGCAAACTAGTCATTTGTGATGTTAAAACCCGTTATAAAACATAATAACCCAGGAGGGCAATGATTTCACCAACTAATGAGTACCACACTAAACCTTGGAGGAAGGGGGTGCCAAATCCATTGGGGAGTGTAAATAGATAGAGAGATAAGTTCTGATAGAATAGAATTAGTGTTTCTTGGGTGACGATTAGATCATTTACCAATTTGGTCTAAAGTTGGAACTATGATAAGACACATTGAGTAATCTAGAATTGAGAGGCTAGAGGCCAGAATCTACTCAACATAACCACACAAGCGGAACTAACTTTAGATTAACCAATGTTTGTTATGCTCTGAAGCAGTAAAGAATAGGTATGCCCCTAGTTTGTCACAATACCTCATTTTCATCTTTAATCATTTGATTCCTACACTAATTTACAATCTCCTTGCAATGGGAAAGACTTTTTATTATAATCGTACCTTTTACACATTTAATTCAGAGACTTTGCGTTTACATTTAGATTAAATTAGAAGTAGCCACTTTAGTTATAACCTCTTACAAACAGTTCGATATTCTTCTCATGAGAATTTAGTTTACAGTTTAAGTAGAAATCTTTGTAAGTCAACACAGTAAATTCTTTATTCTCTGTGGGTTCGATACTAGAGTTTTTAAAGAAAATTTTGTATTACTTGAAACGATACATATACTTTTGTAGTACCCCTAGAGTGTAAACCATTAATAAATTTAATTACACATTTATTTTGCATACTAGCAGTTGAATATAAATTGGGTCAATATTTTGGTCATCTTTTCGAACTTAAATAATTATGTAATTGTATGTCAGGTCATGCATCTGGGGTCTATAAAGTACGAGGCTAAATACTTGGCACTTATGACATATCTTGGGATACTCTATATAGTCAAGGGGGTCATCAAGGGCCAGCAATAACCAAGTGGATTCATTTAATCGTAATATTGGGCCTCGATTGATGAAATCCACAAATACATTCATGAACTTCAGTCATGACTTTCATAGCCTCGTCTCTCTCTCCCTCTAACATCTAAATTTTAATTTTTATACCTAGAAATATCACTATTTCAGAATGGAACATGACGGGGTAATGAGTACTAATGTTTTCTTAGTATAAAATTTAAAATTTAGGTGTTAGACACATAACTACATAAAAAAATATAGTAGGATGATAAAAATGCCCATGCTTTTTTTTTAACATTGATCAAAATTCATATTTTATTTAAATATTTTTAACTAGTATTTTAATTTGTCTCCTTAGTTGCTTTAAAACTTATCAAATCACTACAAAAAAAGTATGTATGTAACTATATTCAACAGCAAGATGTCTCCCTCATATTTTATTTATTTGTAACAGTGCCTTACTAAGCTGAGTTGGGTTTTAGTCTTACAGAATAAATTTACTTATATATACAAAAATATATATTTCATGCTACATTGTCAATCTGGTAAAATTTCACCACAGCATGAAAGCATTATTGTAATAACTATATAAATAATTAATTAGGTCCCATTATCATGAGACTTATTCAAATTTTTGGTTTCTCAAACGCAATTTTTCTCTTAATATCAGACATAGATTCTTCTTTTATCATCTTCTTATGCTTATTCTGACTATAAAAATTCATCTATCTATCTATCTATCTATCTATCTATCTATCTATCTATCTATGAGTCTGTGCGTGTATAATTATTATATAATTAATAAATTAAAAATAAAAAAAAATATTAAAAAGAACAATAGTTATTATAAGGAATTAAGTATTACCAATATAAGCAAACTTATTAACTTTCATGTCATTATTTCCATTATTTTTTCTGTGTTCGACAGAATGGCTATGTAGGATAAATATGATCATATATATGCTTGATTAATCAGGTTTATTCGCCTCTTATATTTTAAGGAAAACAATTATTTGATTTTACCATGCATTTTTTATAGTTAATGCACTCAATGAATGCATTTTTTTTTATACCTAAGCTATAAATTTGAAAATATAGGATCGTCAGGTGGAGCAAGTTTTAGGTACCTATAATGTATGTATTGAGAATGATGGATGGGATGCTCTCACATATAAAAAAAAATGTACCATATATATACATGCCACATAATTCTTATGTGTAGCACCTTTGTGCTTTTAATGTATGCATGAAAATATATAGATCAGTTTTAAAAAGTGATGATAATATTTTTTTAATGTTATGTTAAAGATTTGAATGCTATCAATATGAAAGTATGGATGTAATATATATAAATACATAAGAATTATGTTTATGTATGCAAATTCGTATAAACTTTGGTCTTGGTTGTCGTGGTGTTGCTGGAGGTATTGTGAAGCAGTAGCAGAGATCGGAAAATCCGCTCCGAACGCTCGTCGTATCGTGATGCTCCATACAAAAAAGAGTCTCGCCGCAGCTTCAGGAGACCGGAACTCTGCGTGAGCTGCAACAGGCCTGGACATTATGCTAAAGAATGCCCGAACGTGGCAGTCTGCAACAATTGCTGTCTATTGCACGAACAAGAAAGGCAGTAACAACTGCCGCAAAACCGGCCATCTCGCTCAAGACCGTCCGCAACCTCTGCAATGTATCGACGCTCGCCTGTGAACCAAAGATGATTTGTCACCACCTTGCTTAAGAATGCCCGTCGGGAAGGTTTTTGGATCGTGGGTCTTGAAGGTAATGAGCTTAATGGTTTAATGGTTTGTTGGATATGAGGTTTGGAAACTCTATAGGTGAGTTTTTCTTGGTTCAAGTATGATTAATTTGAGTTTTCTATGTGGTTTCTTATTGGATTCGGTGAGTTATAACACGAAGAGTTTGTATTTGAAATGACTTTTTCTATTCTGGAACTTAAATTTTCTGCTTGCAAATATATATTTATATATATA